AATTAAAAGTGCGGAGCTGTGTAGGTTACGACGCTGGGTAAACACTTTGGTATGAATGCGTTTGGTCATAGCAAGGGCAGGGCACGTGAGAGGTGCGGAGCCAAAGGCTATGTGACCTGGAGACGCTGATGTTGAGAGATTTGATAATCTATGATTGTTATTGCTGTATTGTGTTTGGATTTCTTGTGTGGATGCTTCCCGAGAGCGTGAAGCATGTCAGGTTGGCCGTGTTAGCGCCAACGTATTTTGGAGGGTCGTTGGGGGCAATTAGCCTGTGCTATTTTGCCTTCGAACGATTTATGATAGGGATAGCCTGCGTGAGGTCGTTTATGAGAGTCCAAGTGTGGCGATAGATGATGGCTATTGACTTGGAGTCGTATGGTCATCAGATGTCGTAGGATTGCTTGCTTTGTTAGCTTCTGAGATTGTAGAAAAGGACAGATAGTTTGTTATTGCAATGCTAAGTCGAATAGGGACGTTGTTCCTGGAGGATCTGGCCACGTAGTGGGGAGGCAGGGATGCCTTTGGTAAGAGGACTGAGTTTGACCTCTCGGCACTTACCCCAGCACCTTGATTGGGAACACATCACTTTTTGACACAGTTTTCTAACATGCTACTAATTCTTGGTGGTTTGTTTATTTGTTTGTATTTACATTTATGTCTTGATAAGTATTGAGGTCAGTTGTCATGGTAACTGTGTTATTTCCCTTCAGTGCCAGTCATGAAGACATAGTTTGTTAGGAATGCTTTAAATTTAAGATCACTCTTTGTTGAGGCGTGGGCAAATTAGATGTTGAATTTTGAAAGCAAATCTTTTGAGTATGCCTACTTCGCACGTCAGCATTAATAACTAACGAATTGCGAGAACTCAGATGACCGAAGGTATTAAAGTAAGGCTAACACGAGTAACGTAAGAAACAAGTTATTAATTTATTAAGAATTAAAATAATGAGTTAATCCGAGAATTAAACTATAATATTTACGACTGAATTCTGTGTGATTGGTTTGTACTGGTTAAAGGATTGCGAGAATCTGCTGTTAGACTGCTGCGAGAAACGTGCTTTTCTAAATCACTTCAGTGAACGTAAACTCTTGGGGATGAAAAAATTTTTATTTATTGAAATTGTAAAATGACGTTTTAGCAACGTGACCGCCGACAAGCTAACGGGCACCCTCAGATAATGTAGCTACCCTCGAGTGACGTGTCCAGGAACTTCTTTATGAAATAGCGTTATGAAGTCCTCTAAATCTACCATGCTACAATTAAAGAAACAAGTTAAAAATACTAATTTAACAAAAAATTTCTTGCCATCGACAATGCCAGCAAGCAAAATAAAATTCTAGTCATTGGAAACCAAATAACGTCGATCAGCTATGGTAATTAATGATAACGAAAATTAAATTTCCATCATTGATAACGATCGTTTATAATCAAAACTAATTGCTATCACTGATAATGGTTATTAATGCTCAATAAAAATGTTATTCATTTATGATAGTTATGAATAATCGAAACAGTTAAAAATTAATATTGGTTGGTTATATCATTGCTTAAAAAATTTCATTGAGATTTAACGAAATCTCAATAACAACTGACTTTTATATAAATAAGAATGAATTTTTACAACTTCTTCAGAAAAATCTGAGAAATAACTGTTTTCTGAATTTCTGAAAATTTGTGAAATTTGAAAGAATAACTTCACATAGTCAATCATATTTGAAAAGTTGAAAATAAGTTGAAAATTTTTAAATATGAGAATTATAATGTTGAAATTGAGAAAGCTAGTGTAAGTGTAAAATTGTAGCATCATCGATGGTTTTTAATATTTTTCACAGGCTTTCGTTGTATGATTATTACTAATTATATTATCGTTCAATTTGAACAATATCATGCAAGAAAAAATTTAATTAAAAAGATGAATGTGTTATTTTATAACATATTGAGTCGAAAATATTAGAATGTGAGAAATAAGCTATAGTGCTAGTCAACTTAGTAAAGTCATTTAAAATTTACTGGTGATTCTATAAATTGTGAAAAAAAAATGAAATAGGAGAATTAAAATATTGAAGTTGCAAACAGAATACTGAAAAGTTATCAGTGATACATTCAACACGCCCTTCAGGAAAACTAAACAGTAAAGAAACAAAAACTTATATCTGCACATAAACTTTTAATACTCAATAAAGTGCCTACACTGTAATACGTGCAAACATGAACAGAAACTGAGATTATATAAGTTAAATTAAAAAATTGTCGTATCGACATGTGACATTATGTTCAAAGTTTTCTTGCAGAAACTTCTTTCTAATATTATTTCATTCATCGAGGAAGTTGTTAAGACATCAAGGGGACAACTTTATGATACGGCTAAATATTCGTAGAGTCATTTGTAACCGTTAGTTTTTTCCTCTTTATGAGTTTCAGCAGGCCGGCCTGCAGCCAGTATGCGGCACATAAGGTCACTTAGAAATTTAGCTATTGTTCAGTTTTTTGCTTCAGCCCGGGTATCATAAAGTCGTATTCCAGAGGGTTCCTTAGAAATTCAGAAATTAGTGTCCCCAAGGATCTTGACCTGACGGAATTTCCCCGATGTTGCCAAACATGCGTTGGCGACAGTGACCAGCCTGTCACCCCCGCTCCAGGGATGTACCGCGCTTTGGGCGCACTGGAAGGGGATGACACGGTATTGGTCACCTTAGTTTTAAGAAATAGCAAACTTAGAATTAGGACCCACCCTCTTTTTAGGATAAAGAGGTGGGGTGCGAAACCGACTTGACGTCGAAGCGAATGTCGTCAGGAAAAATCAGACATCTTCAGCAACTTGTATCAGTAACAATTTCAACTCAGCACATCTTATATCAGTGTTCAACTTAGAATATATCAGATCAGTAACCCACATACTTAGTTTTTTTATTCCCGAATCAGTCGGGTGATCCTTCGGAATTAGACGGCACGAAGTGCAATATTCAAAACTCAGAGACTCAGACTCTGGGTTTAACAGAAGTGTTCAATTTTAATAATGTAGATTGATTTAATCTATAACTTATCTGTTACAGGGATTCCCAGTTTTGTTTATAGCTCTCCATTTTTTTAGAATGAACGATACGAAGAAATCTTAGAAACTAATTGATCACAATACACCTGGTTTCTTCGATACTCGATTGTTCACTTTTTCGATATTAGCTGCACATAGACAATAGATACGATTGGTAACATTGTAAATATCACATTGTGAGTATTATATTTGTTACATTGCATCAATGACAATAAGTAATACTTATTCGGTGCCTACTAACCGAGCAGCCATTGTACTTCGACCGGCTACCTGTTATTGCTGCTTATAGTAAGTAGATTACACGTGTACATTTAGAAATGTCGAATCTATGTTTAATTGACGAGGCCTCAAAAAACCCAGAATGTTGTATAGAATTTAAAACAGATCTCCAGGTGGACTGTTTGAAAACGTTCGTACAACTGCAGAAAATTAAACTATCAAGCATGATAATATGACGGGATATGACGCTATCAAAATTAAACCTACATTTTTTTTACTTGAATTTACGTGATGGAACGCGTTAATAAAAACACCTATATTTATTCGTCGGTATTAAGGTCACCTCAATAAATTGTCAAAATAAGAATCTGTAAGTAAAACTTATACATTATAAAACCTGTTGAGGCGTCGAGACTCAAACCTCATGTCTGAGCCTCGTTGTTCATGAAAAAGGACAGGTGTTGGTAAATAAAAAAAACAACAATAATTTTGGGTTACACCCCGAGGAAAAAGACCTTGCGGCCAAAAAACCTCGTGAAAAATCGTGTATTTAATTTGTTCATGTGAGTGTGAGATGTGTGCGTGTAGCTAGGGCGATTGCGCAAGGCGCAAGCCCTAAACGGGCCATAAGCATGACCGCGTACGCAGTTACGGGCCTTGCGGCCGCGTGTGTATATTCAGAGGAAGTACGATGGACGTACCCCTCTACGGGTCATGAGTATGACCGCGTGGGTGTAATTGAAGAAAGTACGATGAACGTACCCCTTTAAGGGTTGTGGCGGACCGCCGCCGAAAATTCTCGACGCGCACACGAACGCTCGCTATGCGGCACGGGCGTGAAAGAACATTCGCGAGCCCACGCGCTGGAACATTCGCGAGCAGGAATTTTCGAGAAAGACATTTGACTATATAAATCGGCCGATTCGCGGATTAATTAACCAGTCGATGTCCAGCTCGCACGCCGAACACTGCGAAAGTCATCTTATCAACGCGCGTTTACATATCTCTTGTACAAAGTCTAATTTTATAGCGTATTAGTTTATAGTCCCTAGTTCTTAGTTTATTATTATTACTCTAGTCTGCAAAAATTAATTAAGTGTTTATTCTAATAAAGTAGTTTAAGATACACTTCGCGTAATTAATGCACACAAACTAATAACCTAACCTAACCACTTCAGGGTTTTGCAACCGCGTTTCGGGTCTTGCGACCGCTAATTTTATTATTGAACTATCTCGGGGATATATTGAATTACATACTTGATAATTAGACGATGTTGGGTTTTGGTAGAAAATATCACTGAATCGAATTGAACCAGTGATGATATATTGGACGGGTTTTTGCGCGCATGCGCGAGAAATGCAAGAGCGTACGCAGCGTATGTATTTAGTGGCGCCGCTAGATGGCGTAGTGTCGTTGGCGGGAAAACAGCGAAGAAACAGTCGTTACGAGGTACGTTGCACATATTTAATTGGCATTAAATAATGGTGAAGGTGCCGTAAAAAAGCGTAAGATCCGTAGATTTAATCATGCATGGTTAGATAATGACAGCTATAAAGTATGGTTATGTAAGCGTGCGCTATTCGAGATACATATACATTGTAGGAATTATTGCCGATCGTCGCTTGTTTTAACGGACGAGAGAGCGGACGACCGGGAGCCGGTCGTCAGTCGTTAACGGTTGCCTGAATAAACATGTTTACATCGATTCTTGAATTTTATTTAAGCCATCCTTACAGTTAAGACCTACTGTAGATAGATGTAGAGCGCTTTGTATCGCTTGTAATAAAACTATCAGATGTTGCAAAACCGATGTAGACAATCACGAAAAAACAAATGTACACCGTAGAAATGTAAATTCACTTAATGATATTGCTAAATGATAGCAATAATGACAATAATAATAATAATGTTATCGCGAGTAGCTTACTGCATACAGACAAAGCGAAACGAGCTGAAATTAAATTATCTGCATTTTTCGCTGAACATAATGTAGCATTTTGTACCGTAGATCATTTGATACCATTAATAAAAGATATTTGTATTGAACCCGAAGTTGTACAGGATCTTTCACTTGCTCGACATAAGTGTGCAAAAATTGTCACAAATGTAATTGCCAAACGCGAAATTGAGAATATAATTGATTGTTTAAAAACGTGTAGATTTTCGATTTTAATTGATGAAAGTACGGATATTTCCGATACAAAATTAATGTGCGTGCTGGTGAGATATGTGTCACCATTAGATGGTAGCATTATAACGCAGTTATTAGAATTATTACAATCAGATGCTACCGATTGTTCCGCGAGTAAAATTTTCCAAATTTTCAAAAATTCTTTAGATGAAAAACAAATTCCTATTCAAAATATTGTTGGACTAGCATGTGACAATGCGCCAGTTATGGTTGGCCGCAATAATTCATTTATGTCACATTTAAAAATAGAAGTTCCCGAATTAATTACTATAAATTGTATTTGCCATTCGTCCGCGCTTATAGCTAGTCACTCTTGTGACCAATTGCTTTCGGCATGTAGAAATTTAATTAGAGGAGTTGCCACTTTATATTTCGGGCAGTACAAAGAGATGTACAATTTTGGTTGAATTCCAAGATTTTTTTGAAGTTCAGCGATTAAAAATTTAAAAATTATCAAATACTAGATGGCTTTGCCTCCACAAATGTATTATTAGATTATTAGATAATTGGAATGTTTTGAAAAATTATTTTATTTTAGCAACAATAGAAGAGAAATCTAGTTTCGCGGAAAGTATTTTGGATTATTTTAACGACCCCGCGATTAAAGCCTATATACTTTTTCTTAAATATTCTCTACATTTTTTTAATAATTTCAATGCTCTGTTTCAGTCTGGCAGTATTTTAATACATAAATTATTCGAAAGTAGTAAAAAATTAATTCATCAAATAGGGCAAAATTTTATCAAAATTGACGCGTTAAAGAACATAGAAACTTTGGATATAAATAATGTTAATAATGTTCAGAATATTGAAAATGTTTATACAGGCCCGGAATGTGAAAATTATTTGGAATCTGTAGAAGTAGAATCTGCCCGTCAAATTAGAATAAATTGTTTGAATTTTTATACTACTGCAGTTCGAGAGATGCTTGTAGGTCTACCTTTACAAGATCCTTTTTTTAAACAATTACATTTTTTAGATCCAAAAATAGCTTTATATGATGAAGGTAGATAAAAAATTAAAGATTTAACTTTTATCGCCAAACGTGTAAGTAATGTAATTAATGTAACAGAACTAGCTTTTGAATGGCGAATTTCACCATCGTCTTTTGATGACGACGATAAAAAAGAATTAATTGGTTTAACTTTAGATAAAATGTGGAAACGTATTTTAGATGTTACAAATTTCGATGGGGAAAAAATGTTTCCAAATTTAAAATCATTAGTTGCAATAGTTCTTTCTTCACCCCACTCAAACGCCGAAGCCGAGCGTATATTTTCTATTGTAACCGACGTCAAAAATAAAATAAAATAATCATTATCTAACGATACGGTTTCTTCAATTTGTATAGTCAGGTCCAGTTTTCAATCAAAAAATATTAATTGCACTAATTTTGAAGTAGATTCACGACATCTCGAACTGCATAACGCGCAAAATTTGTATATTAAATACATTTCAACCTTTTCGGAGGCGGCGCAAAATTAAAAGATTTTCTTGAACATGTCAACCTTTGGACAGCCGAACATAGGCAAAGATTGTATAGCTATTTTTTTTCTATACATATAACTCGACAGCACGCCGCGAAGTAGGTGTTAGTGCGTATAGAATGTAACTATGGTCTATCTAGATTCATAGAATATGCGACGGAAAGACTCGTTCGCCGCATATTTTATAAAGATAGAGCCTATCTGCCACAAATTTGGTAATTCCCGCGTCGTGGGCTCCGTTTACAGGTTCTTAGATCCACGGCTTCCATATGCGAACGAAGTCGATTCAATTTTATTTATATCAGAAACGTTGCGAAATGAAGATGCAGTCGTTACATTTACGTATATTACAAGATATATCTATAATGGTTCGTATTCCTTCTCAGGATTTATTAATTTCCAATACGTCACACCACAATCAACTGGTTATTGGCAGCAACGTTTA